TAAACACCTCAATTTTCTAGGAATTATCAGATCTACAGACGCTGTAATTACTAGCCAATCAAGAACTTTTTATTTTATAAATGACTCATTTATAATTAATCTTTTCTCTTCAAAATTTACATACCTAATAATAATTGAAGTTTGTTCCTTATGGGAAATATCAGGAGTACAATCCATTTGGATACTATAGTATGTGGCTGCTTTTATATCGTCTTTAATTTTGTCAAGGACTTCATCTCCTAACGCAGAAATAATTTGTTCTTGTGATCTATGTGCTAAATGATGCACAATTCTGTTTATATGATACATTAGAACAGAGTCGTATTTACTTAAAACTACGACTATATGCAAATATACATATAATTTTATATGGCCGACGGCCACAGTATTATTTCATTTCTTAACGCGGGCTATATGGTATTGAGATTTTTTTTTAAAAGTCGAATTTAGGTGGGGATTCTCGGGAGTTTCCCGAATCAAATAACAAAAACTAAACATTCGCATCACCGAGAATTAGTTTGAAGATTGTCGAAATTCAGAGATTACAATAATAATGTTTACGATAAAATGTACTTTTCGTCATACTGACAACGATAGGAATATTGTCGAGTTTTCTTGTGCATTCTTGACAATGTTAGGGCACCCTCAATCGCGGGGCCCCGGTGCACAGCATCCGCCGCACCCCCCCGATGGCCGGCCCTGCATTCTACTGTATTTAGGGTACAATTTTGTGTGAATTAGTTTTTTGTTTTTCCGTCTATTTTGATTATAAACAGAAAACAAGGTTAACGTCATGCGTTAGTTTCAATAATTAATTACATTTTTCCAATTTAAACATTTCTCTTTAGATAACAATTATTAAGAATGCATTTTGTTAAAAATGCGCTCTTAACATCGTGACAACTTTAATTCCCGTATATAGTACATTATGAAAATTATTAAGATACAAATTATTAATTTTTATTCATCGATTTAAATAAAATTCTTGAGGGTGTTTATATAAAATTTAAGAAATATTCATTGCTAAGAACATTTTCTTGAATTTTCGTAATGCTTTCAATATATATATTCACAGCAAATACATTTAAAATGTTTTGTTTAAATAATTACTTTTATGTTCTTAATTAAATATTTACTTTTATACTTTGAATGATATTTTAAAAACATTAAATTATATATTTAGTTATTTTTATACTGTTTTCACAAGAATAAATTATTTTCTAACTTGGAAAACTCTAAAATATTTATTTTTTTTTTGTTTAAATATATTTACTAAAATTTTAATTATTCAAACTTTTAATGTTTTATTTACATAAATTATAAATTAGAGTCGTTTCGCTTTACTACATAAATATTAAAAAGAAAACATTTAAATAAAAAAAATATATTTACCAAAACAATCAGGTAAAATATTTTAAATACAGTATTAAACTATAGCATCGAAAAACTAATTTTATTCAAATTGCTGACAATGTTATAAATATTAATTTATTATTTTGAAAAAATTTGCACTTAATTTCAAATTTCTATCTTGTTTTGCGGTTAGACGATTTAACATGCATCTTAGTGTTTTATAATTGACTTTCTTAACACGAAATTTTAAATATATAAATCTATAAATATGAGAAACTTACGATGCCGGGATACAATTTTTAGTCATATTTTTAATTTAAAATATATGCTCTCTACCTCAAATGTGTTGTGGCTTGTACCTGTACATCATACTTTTCCTTTAACAATAGAGTCCTGTCTGTCATCTATCTAATACTTTTTGGGGAAAATTTTTGAATTCAAACAACGTGACTTCCGGTTTGCATCGGAATATATAGTTTTTATCAGACAGACAGACGGCCGACAGAGGAAATTTTTAAGTCTATAATTTTTTCAAATGTAGCCCAATTAAATATCTGAATTTTTATATTTATTTTAAACATATTTACGAGACAAGAAAAATTTTATTTATTTTCGAACTTTTCTTCATCGTATCATAATACTGAGTGAATATATCGAGTGAATAGGATCACTGAACACTGGTAGTTTGCTGCGGGTTCGCGTCTAATCAATAGGTTGTCGCGTGAAGTTTTCCGGGTTTTTTCACGTGTCTAACACCTAAATAGCGGGCAGTTTCCCCATAGAAAGTCCTTCTTAGAGGCATCCCCTGGTAGATCGCTGATGTATTGCGTTGCCTTATCCCATCTACCCATCATCCATATTTTCTATAAACAGTTATAATCTTTATAACTGTATACAGTTATAAAAATTAAAATGTAGTTACAAAAGTAATGTATAATTACTTTTAAATACGCTTTTAAATATACAGAAACTTAAAAATACAGTGCAATTCACGTAAAAAAACTACAATACAAGCATAAAAAACTACACAAATTATTAATTAACTAGTATTGTTTACTCTTATGTAAGTTATAATATAATATTTATAATAGTCAAGAAGTTAGACAAATAAAATATAAATATATATATATATAGAACATAATTCAGACAAAATGTTGTAAAAAATAGAAACGCCTGGTACTGTATCAGAGTTTGAAAACTATTTTCGGTATCCCATGGACGATGCATACATTATTCACATCAAGATAATCTTCATATACGTTTACATTTAAAGTAAATATAAATTCTATCATACGTATAAACTAACCTCTATAAAACTCAGAGTAATCTCTAAGACAAAATTCAAATTACTGTTTGCCATTTCTCTCAGGTCGCCTTGCTTCTGCTAAAATAAGGACGGAGACATCTTATTACGTACAAGTACGTGCAAATGTTGATTGATTGATTTTGAATCGTTTCCGATTTTCGTCGATTGCAATTGAACAGAGTACTGTATAGTTTTTATCGGGCGATTTAGTCAGATCTGTTGCTATTTTTATGGTGTACAAACGTCGGCTGCGGCCTGAATCGGTACATTTTCTTAGATATTGTATCACGTTCGCTCCCTTTCACAAATCAAACATCAATAATCACAGTACTTGGTTGCTTGCTGTTCTGTCAATTGCCTGTATGTTCTCTCTTCTTAATGGAAAAAGTGGATTTTTATTTTCTATAAAAATCCACTTTTTCCATCAAGAGGAGTATTCCTGTATGATATGTTCTCGATAGCAATTTTATGCTAGGTTCCAAGGAACATACAATCAATAACTCCAGTTCTAAAAACAATACAGTATCATATTTTCAAATATTTATATTTTTTGAGTATTTTTTTAAATTACTTCTGCTTCTTTTTTAATATAAATTTACTTCTTATTTTATTATTTTTATTTATTCGAATAGAACTAAGATAAACCAGATAAAAACCTATTGAGGAAACTCTTACCAAAAAAACGAGTAAAATGAATGAATAGAATTAATCACTAAATTATAATGTTTCATATTAAATGAATTATTCATATGTGTTTTTCATAAATTTATAATATTTATGTACTGAACTTTATAGAAATCGTTTAGGTTAAGGTTTTGTCATACAAGGTACGCAACAATAGTTCTATTGCATTAAATAGTTTCAAGCACGCCAAATTAATAATCAATATCGATTATTCGTATTTTTAATCCAAGAAATAATAAATTAAGTCGACTCGAAATGTCAAATATATTCAAAATAATTATTAATTTAGTCATAATTATTTTAATTATAAATTACTTAAATTTAAATTTATTATAAAAGGAACAAATTTCAAAAAATAAATAATGAAAAATCTTATTTATAAAAGCATACCGGTATTGTTAAAATCGGAAACTATTCAAAATACAGAATTAGGGCTGTGCCAATGGATCAGGCGGAGAGGCAACTGACTCAGGCGCCAAAATTATTCGGAATAGTTCTGTACCTAATATGTTACTTATTAACATTTATTTTCTCCTTACTAAAAGAATTTATAACAAAACAAGTTTCAAATATAGTCAAAATTTAACACGTAATACGTCCTATAATAGATAACAATTATAGAATAAATGTTATCTGGTATAGCTCACCCTCACTCATATCACTCAATTTTACCATAATAAAACTTGGTTTAAATATTAAATTTATTTTAAGTATTATAAAACAATGGGCTACAATTAAAACTTATATAAACATGAGTTTTTAGTATCAAAAAATGATTTCACAATTCTCAATGATAAAAACAGTTTTTACGAGTATGTTACAAGTTTACATTTGGTAGGCCCGTTCATTTAAGAAATGGATTGTCTTGATTAGTTCTAGCTAATTTAATTGCTAGATTTGCTGCAGATTTAAAAGTAATTCCTCCCTGACTTATTGCAGACTGATAGCATCGGCTTGGTAATTCTTCTAATCTCTTAAAAGTGTCGGGTTCGTTAGGATCAACAATGACAAGGGTGATAAAACTACCATCAACACCACCTACGCATATAGAAGTACCATCGGATGTTATCGCTATACAACTGGCGTCAGCCGACAATCGATAATTAGCTATCAATTTTCCATCAGAAACACGAAACAAACGAATTGTTTTCTTACCACTGTGATAGTAATAAACGTAATCGTCCAAAGCAGTAAAATCTGCTTGGATACTGAAAACTCCTTCCATAACTCTTGGTAAAAGTACACGTATCGTAGAACCACTCTTTAACCCTATAATTTCCAACCCTCCACCAGCGGGAGCATACAATCCATACTTGCCTTTCTTGGTATGAGCACCGTGCCATCTATCAATGTTTCTTATAGTTTTTTTGCTTTTAACATCATAAAATAAACCTTTTTCGTTACCAACCAATGCCAAAATGCAGCCTTTAGTAGGGAATATTTTCATGTCTTCGAAATTTTTTAAATCATCTGGTTTTAATAATATTTTATATAAATATTCTCCGTTTTTGACGTCATGAATTTGAAAACATTCACGACCTTTATCTAAACTAGATAAAATTAGATTTTGTTCGTCTTTTGTTATAACTGCTGATCTAAGTGCACTTAAAGTATAAGTTATATCGTAAATTAACTGAGCCTTTGGTACCGATCGACATTTAATTATTGCTTCTCCATATGTTTCTTGAATGACGAGAAAAATTCGAGTTTGTCGAAGCCCGAAGAAAAACTGCTTGACATTACTTTCTGGATGCCTACAAAAACAATTTATTTAAAAATAAATTTATATTTATAAAAAAAAATGTTTTCAAATTATTTACAATAAAAAAACTTACCTATTCATTATTTCTTTCAATTCAAGGTCCCAAGTTAAGAGAAAATTTGATTCGATACACACAACATAACATCCATCAGAAGTTATGAGAGCATGTGTAATTATGGCACCAACAGGACTATCTGCCAATTTGCATTGTAATTTTCCAGTTAAAACATCCCATACACCAATACTGTTTCTTGTCACTGTAATAGCTAAATTTTTGTCGTTAGATAAACTGATAGAATTAATAGGCATTTCCATTCTGTCGACACAGAAAGATTGTTCAAAAATATGATCAATGTTCCACACTTTAACAGTACGATCTATGGAAGACGAAATGACTAAATTACTAAAATCATCTATAACTGTTCTAACATCTATAACTCGTGCAAAATGTGCATCTAACGCTTTTAGCAGTTGTCCACTTACAACGCTCCATAAGTACAATTGTTTTCTTACTCCACCAACGGCATATTGATTATGTTTAGTTAAAACCAGATTGTTTTGAGACTTTAGTGGTTTTGTAATGATATTTCTCATACCATGCGGTAGAAAAAATTTGCTATATTTTTTGTTATCTAATTTCCAAACTGAAAATTTGTCTATCATAGTCGCTATTAGGTAATCTTCAGCAGGAGTTAAGGAAAGGGCAAGAATCTTATCGACGTTTTTTTGGATATATCGATTAAATATCCATGAATTTTCGTTTTTATCATATGTCATTATAACATAATTATCATTTTCTTTGCAACTAATAAATATAGAATTGTAATTACTTGAAAATGCGAGACCTCCTCGTAAATGCAAATCTTTAAACTTAATACCGTTAACTACAGACCTGTAACAAAAAAAGCTTTGAAAAGTTATCATTTATTACTGACATAGTTTAAAATAAAAATAAACTCACCGTAAAATAATATCACAGTCATCGTCATCAGATGTAGTAATAATTAAATAATAATTATTTTCTCGTATGAATTTCACATTTAATAGCGCACACCGTTCTTCGGTAAAATCATAAGAAGCAACTTTCTTGCAGTTATTAGTTGAATAAATACTCCATCTATTCCTAGACCACATTGCAAAATAACGATCAGAAACTGAAACACCCCGTATATAATTTTCATCTTGATCTTCTATTTTCAATTTGTTAGTATCTCCGTTTATTAGATTTAACGTTATAACTGAATTATAATTGCTATATGCGACTGCAAATTTATCATCTGGACTAACTTCAACACCAATCATCATTCCCTCGATTTCTGGATCTACGTCTTGAGAAACATCAGCAGTTGACAGGTCCCAAACAACAAATCTGTTAGAAACTGAAACAACATATCTAAAATCAGAAGTTAGTACGAAACTAAATACTGCAAATTGATGCCCTTCTAAAGAATATTTCATAGGTCCACCAGGTGTATGTAAACAATGGTAAGCTGGTATTAAAGCACATTGCATTGGGCTCTCCTTATCACACTGTTCAAGTAGCAATTTGATATGTTTATGAGTTTCTTTAACCGGAAGTAGCCTACTGATAAGCTGTGAAGCTATCATATTAGGATATTGCGATAAAACTGCACTTCCTAGTCGAAGAGAATCTGCTACAAGTATCACTTCACGAACAGTCATTGAATCTTCCAAATTTTCTCTTGCATCATCAAAGTCTATTAAAACAGCTTGAAGCTGGCAACTATTTAATTTATGATACAGCCATTTGTAATTAAACAATATTTCTTTATATAAATCATCGTACATCTTAGCTCTTAACAAATGAAATGGCAATTCACCAAATTTTCTAAAATTATATCTAACCTGACGGCTTTCTTTGCTTTCAAACACCATTGGTTGTTTTGGCACTTTTCTATCGGCCATGCCTTGTTTGTCACTAATGCCGAATCTCAATCTTTGTATATCGGTATATTTAAAAGGTTTCATTTTACCATCTCCCCAAATTCCCAAAAAATAATCAGCAAATCTGCAATGGAAATAGCATAAAACGTTCATATTTTTAAAATACCTTTCTTCTGCTGCTTTCCTGAATTGTTTATGATACCAATTAAGAACCGTGATGCCATCTGCTTCTCTTTCAGATAAGTATTTTGGTAAGTCATTACGAATCCTAGTCCATAATAAAGGAGGAATCCTCCTAACAGGAGGTAAATGATATTGGTAGACATCTTCAAGTACTTGATCGTCTAAAGATAAAAGATCTTCTAATTCCATTTCACTAACTCCACTCTTTGATGCTGTTATATAAGATAGTGCGTGCGACACCAACGCTTTTCCGTGCTGAATTTCTATCCTTTCTAGCAATTTCATTATGCTGTCCATCACTGTATGAGACAGTATTACATCTTCTAATTTAGTATACGATCTCCAACGAATAATTTCAGCAAATACTAATTTAACAAATATAGGTAAACTGCATTTTCCTAAAGCAGTTTTTACCACTTTCCACTGTGAGGCGGTTAAGCCTCTATTTACTGATTTAAGTAAACCATGGATTACTTTTACAGCCAAATCAATTCCGAGGGGTTTGACTTCTTCAAATTGCTTATCATTTTCTAGCATCTTTACTAAAATCTGATAATCGCTAAATTCCTCTCCTGATAAAGTTGAAACCACCATTTTTACATGAATAGGTAAAATTACAGGTATCCATGATACCTTGTTACTGATATTATGTCCGGATAATTGATCTACTGAATCAATTATAATGCATAGTGGTTGTTCCGCTGAAGCGTATGTAAGTAAACGTTTTAAATATGCTACTAAAGGTACATAATCGTCTGGCGTTTCTTCCCATGGCAAACTATAATTATAAGCAATCTGCTGGCACAATGATTTTAGCATGGATATCATGCATGAACTATCAGGAGTTATACCGAGAAAACGAAGTATTAAAAATGGTTTGCGGTTGGATGGATACCAATCATAAATCATGCTTGCAATTTTGGCAATTAATGATGTTTTACCACATCCTCCCATACCGTGCAAGATTAAAGGTTGATCTGAATCATTATAAACATATGATTTTACCCTTTCTATTTCACTGAGTCTTCCTTCGAATATAGTAATAGCACTATTACACGCATGAAGGTGTTGTAAGATTTCTGTTACAATTGGTGCATGAGCATTTAAATATGCTTTTCTCATTGCTTTATCTACAAGTTTAATAATGTATTTATGAAAATGAGCTAAAAACTGAGTCAGATATTCTTGATGAACTTCAGCATCTAAACCATCTGCACCGTTCCATTCAACTGTAAACCTAAATATAATAACAACAAATGAATAATAAATAATAAGCTAAAAAGTTTATAAATTTTACTAAATATAAAAGCATTGTTATAACAATAAATTTTAAAGAATATTACTAATATTTATGTATATGTAAATATAATCTACTTGATTAAATTTGGACGTTTCATCTTCGAACATAATCTGTTGTCTCGAAGATCAGCTAATAAATTTTGTGCTTCTGTATCCACACCTCGATTCAATAAATCTACAAACTTTCCAGCGGATTTAACATTGCTCATGTTAATATTTTCAATTTTTCTTATGTAAGCTAAGCAGTGATTTCTAGTGTCCGGCATCTTCAGTATTCCGTTAATAACTTCTCTTTCAGTAACTATAATAATAGATTTATATAATCCTTATTTTTACAGTAATATAGCCTACATTAAATTTATACCTGACATCATATAATTATGAACAGTGTCCTTATCCATTTTTTCAGTAGCAAATAATGCTTGAGCTGCTCGCCTTAACAATTTCTGTAATTTGCCTAAAGTATCCCACCAAATACCTTGATCTTGAGCTTGAAGTTTTGGCATTCTCTTAAAATTGTTTATTTTATTAATATTGGAATAAAATGACTGTTTAAAAATAATTATAGTATTTTACCTTATTATTAAAATTTGGCAAAATAGAACTAATTGGTTGAAGAACATATACTGATGGCACAGCATTTGTATCTTCTTTGTACCATTTATCTAGCAAAGACACATCAGATCCAACTTCAACTAACATATCTCTCATTAATACAAATTCTTTTCCATCAATAAAAGTCGGAACTGGACGATAACCATACTTTTGTCCAAGAAATACCTATTTAAATTTTTATTCAAATTATAAATCGTTCTAAATTATCAGACTTTATGTAAAAATGAAAATGATGAAAGAATGCTTCTATATATATTATTCTATATATTGTATAATGCTTATCTATTTTTCTAAAATAATTCTATATGTACAGAGACGGGAAAAAATTGCTATAACTAAGAGCGATTTTTATCTTAAGTGTAATAAAACTTATACGAAATGTAAACTGTTTCGTTTTTGCGCGTAAATCCTTAATTATTTATGGATCCCAAAGTTGAAAAAAAATATTTGATACATTTCAACACAATTTTTATAGCATTTTTAACAACCATAAAATTTACACATTCATATATTTTGTACTAACTGGATAGATTATAATCAAAAATTATTAATCTCAACTACGATTTCGGTTATTTATTTATTTATTTAAAATTCTTGTTATCGTTTATTTTTAAATTTTTGTATTTACGTTCTATTTTATCGTAACTGAGGAAAATTAGTTAATCTGATCGAAAACGTAATTATTTAGTAAATTTCATTGCTGGATTTTAAATGTGTATTTTTTGATCATTTACACAAAAAACAGTGCAATAAAAATAATAAATTACTTCACATTTAAGGATGATAATATTTATATAAAGAAATTCAACATTCTACCCTATATTATTCTATTTTTTTAAATATGGGATACGTTAAATTGGTTGGAAATAAAAACATTCAATGAAAATTTCATTTAATATAATTTAATATTTACACTTAATTTGTCTAAGGGCAGCAAAATGATAAAAACGTCTCTGTACGTATATATATAAAAGCAAAAATTAAACAGCATGCTGTAATGTTGAAAAAGCCAAAGCAAAAGCAAAATCAAATTAGTGTTTAACATTTACAAGTATGTTTTTTTCAGTATACATGTAATTTTCAACTCAATATTCTACAAAATATAATTTTTAATACAAGCACTGTATACTGTACATAAAATTTATTATGAAAAACAAAACTTTACATAAAAATTTATCCTATTTTTATTTTTTCTCCATAAAATAAGCAAAATATTGTTATAATGATAATTATTTTTGGGAGAATGTCTTTCATAAATGAATTTTATAGAATATTTCATCTTAATTTGCGCAAATCTTTATTTATTAGCGCACTCCAAAAAGGCAATCTATCCTAAAATTAAGACGGTCCTATAATCTATAGCCACGGTGGGCAAACTGCGGGTCGGAAATAGCAAGTGGCTCTCGTACAGTCTATTTATACAATTTCTTTTAATAGCTTAAATTATATATATATATATATATATATAAAACATTGTTCTAATACAGAACATGACTTTCACGTATTTCTGATAAATGATATACATTTTATGCATATTTCATATTCAACTTTTAATGATATATTTCATTAAAATATTAATTTATAACTATTAATTACGTAAAGAAATTAAATAATGTCCTTATATGATCAAAGAAAACAATAAAATATTATGTGTTAAAAACTAAAGTTTTGAAATTTAATTTTTAATGAAATTTTGAAGAAATATTAATATGTAAATTTATTAATTTTTAAGATTCATAAATAATTTTTTATATGTATCAAACTTATAAGNGCATTCTTCGCTTTACCTAACATTGAACTTTCAACATAACCTGAAAACATTTTGAATTGCATCTATAATATATTTAAAATGCATAGTACTTTAATAAATATTCTAATTTAATCTTCATAATTTAACTTCTAAACATTACCAACACTCCTAAGAAAAAGACCCCAGTCGATACTGCTGCAACTAACCTAATGTTAATGTTTGTCAAAATGAATGGCATGTACTGTACAGTACTGTACATACGGGGAATATGTATTGAAATTTTTATGATTTAATTTATAATGTACTATCTTTTAAACGTATATATTATTCTAAATAAAACATTCTTTTTGGAATTTAAAGCTATTTACCACAAAATTAGCACCCATAGATAGTCGTTGACAGTTTTCAATTTCTTTCATACATAACTCTGTTGTCATATGATCATCTGTTGCTTCATCTCTCACACCCCATCTCATGTCAACTACCTATAAATAAAATTTTTTTAATAATTCGGTTGTGTTATTACTTCATATTTGAAAACATTAAGATAAAAAAAACTAAAATAAATTAATTTTAATTTTAGAAATATTAATTGTTAAATTTGAGTTTTGTGTTACCATTTAATTATGTCAGAAAGGAAGCTATACGGAGGTTCATAAAAAATTAAGAAATAATTTCTATTTAAAATTAATACTAATATAAAATTTATGCTAAAATTATAATAAAAGTTTATAAGTTAATAAATAATTACTAAACTTTTATAATATCAAATATTGGTATATTATAGTATTTATGATTTTTCCAAAATATATATGATTTATTCTTTTTATAATACAGAACAAAACTTAATATTTTATTTCATATTAGAATTTGAAATTAATAAAAGTGGTTTTAACTTATCCAAAATTTTAATATTGAAATCCTATCTACAGCTTTTAAATTTTTATAATCGAATCATATCATCAGTTTAACTATTATTTTACTATTACTCAGATACATGATGAAAACGGTCTACCTGAAACTCTAAGCCATGTTTATGTCTACAATAATCTTTTAATTTTGGATATACTTGTTCCATTAACATGTTTCGTTCTAGAGACATATCTGAAATCAAAACAGATAAAAACAAGAGAAAAATATTTAATATAGGTAAACATTAATCATTAGGTGTTAGACTATAATGACAATGATAGACTAACCTGTAAAGGTAGAACTAGTAAATATTCGGACTATTTTTGATCCGAGAGGAGGTAGTTTATCTAAGCATCCTGCAAATAACCTATCAACTCCACCTTCTTCCATGTTTACGAATCACTTTATAGTATGGTTTTTACTTAATGTCATTTTATAACTAACTAGACGTGATTTCCACAGACGCCACCGTACGGCCAACGTAGCAACACACGAATCATACATAAAGTCGATATGTTGCCAGAATGGCGCGACCTTCGTGCTAAGTATCACGCAAATGAATTTCAAATTTAATATATTGCTGCACAGAGTTTATTCTTGTGTATTTATGGATTAATTTACAATTCATATATAAATATCCATATATTCTTAAAAAGATTAATAATGTATCTATATTCTAGTTTAAATTAATGAGAAGATGCAAAACGGAAACCAAACTTTATTACTTTTACTACAAAGTGTCGATTATCCGAAAGATCGATTAGCCGAAATCGACTTCACAGAGTGCTAATTCCAAAAATTACAAAATTTTTACGTAATTTTCGTAAAAATTTAATAATACCTAAATACGTAATAACGATTTTCGGCAATCTTCTTTAAGCCCGCTATAGAGCTATCTCGTTTCTAACATTAGTGTTAGGTTTCATTTATTACAGTACAAATAGAAAAGCAAGATTTATAAGTCACAGGTTTCTAATGTATTAAATTTATGCGTCTTGGCAGTTTTTTTTACCGTTGTATTAAAATTAAAATTAAAATATTTATAGTTTATTTTTGGTATTTATCATTTTATTATCTTTCACTATCAAATGTGATCGATTTTCGAAAATTCTCCCACACCGATTAATTAAATATTATCGACGTATTATAAACTCTGCATGAATTATACTAAAACTGTTTTAAATATTATCAATACATTGATATAACTATTATATTAGTTTTAAATTTTTAATATCAATGCACTGTTTCTGATATTGCTTATAGTTTGTTAACTTCTACGTAGGCCTATTCCTAAAAATGATATATATTTTTAAACAGACTTTTACATTAACTTATATATGCAAATAATAATATAATCATGGTTTTAAAATTTATTAACGTTTTTAATGTTAAAAATATCAGCTTGTTATATATCGAAAGTAATAATCGATCTTTGTTTTTTTTTTTTCTATTTACAAAACACGCAATTATTGATGAAACTAGACACGTTATTTTATTCCTCATCCTTTAGATACTACATTCTTGCATTTTTTATATTTTTATACATTTATAAACACAAAATAAAGGAAATATACGTCTAACAACATTTTAAGTAATTTGAAAATGTCGATGTAATCATATTCTAAACATTTTTCCATATGAAATTACTCTTTGTAGTACATATAACTGAATATGGGCAATTTTCGCTTGAGATGTTAATAAATTCTAAATCATTCTTCGCTTTACCTAACATTGAACTTTCAACATAACCTGAAAACATTTTGAATTGCATCTATAATATATTTAAAATGCATAGTACTTTAATAAATATTCTAATTTAATCTTCATAATTTAACTTCTAAACATTACCAACACTCCTAAGAAAAAGACCCCAGTCGATACTGCTGCAACTAGATGTGAAATTCGATGACAACAATGGAGATTTCTTTAGCCAAGCGGTAGAAATGATAGACTTTCGATGAAATTTAATTGGATGTCTGCGCATTATAACGTTTCCATTAACTATCTTATTTTCAATAGTTGAATGATTATGATTTATTTTATTTTTGAAAGCTAAAAGAAAATAATTATCAGTAGAATATAAAGATAACGTAATTAAAAATAGCTTTATAAAATTATAGTTAAAAAGTACTACCGTCAAACATATCTTTAGAGAGTATTATACAATTAGCATTTTTAATAGGTATTAAACTATTTTGTGAAATGCAAGCTCCGATATATCTTGGATGAAGAACCACATATTCTTGGCAATTTTTGCTTTCCAGTAATCTAGAGATAAAAATATTTTACGACAAATTAAAATTTTATTTAGGTTCACTATGAACATGCAAACTTTTTAAAATACTTACGCTTTTGTATCACTGACAGTATTACTTTCACTAAACAAAAGCAATGCATTGTAATTTGATTCTATCCTTCCACCTTGAAGTACTAACAGTCAAAATATATTTACTAGTTAAAATTCTAACGTAATTAAATAATTTCTCTGTAGTAATTGTTAACGTAATATTAAAAATAATTAAAATTTTATAATATACATTTATTTCGATTTTTTATATATGTTTAAAAACCATATTACAAACTTACTCCAAACAGTTATCCATTTTTTTGTTACACTTGTTGAAAACCATGCCGTTAGTCCTTCAAACAGCATACTTCGTGTAATCTAATATAAACAAACTTTTATACTAAACTGATATAAGCAAACAATAATAATACAATCATAATTAAAATATCATCAAAATTTTTTAATGTTCAAAATATCAATTATGATATGCTTTTTACATATGTAAAGTAGGTTAATAATCGATCTTTGTTTCTTCTCCCCTCATTATACAGATATATATGTTTATGTAAAAAATACTAAAATTAATATTATATAAATCGACTATAATACTTCTATTATATAACTTTTATTGTATTCTTTAAACTTATAATAAATATTTGAATTAATAATCATATAAACAATTTGACTTATTCCACGTTTATAATACTTCAGAATTTAGAATAAAAATTGTATTTAATTTCACAAAAATCATTAATAATGAGATTTTTATTTACTTTTTTGTCTTTTTCATATCTTGAAGTTAAATGAACAATATTCTTATAATTACATTTGTAAAGAATTACTACTGTATATTATACAGGGTGTATCAGAATGACGATTTAAAAATTTGAGGGATTGTAGAGGATGAAATTTTGAACGTTTTGATATAAAGAACCCATAGCCGGAAATTGATATAAAGTTTCTACAGCGGTAGGAAGTGCTTGACCGCCCTTCACTTTGGTAGCTACCCTTCCGTCCATTGACGTCATGTTATTGTTCTTGACTTCTTCCTCTGAGGTTATGTAAAGTCCCTTGTGTACGCAACACCTGTAGGAACAGTTCATGAGCTTACGGAGCGCATCTTTACAGCATTTAATACCATCAGAGGGGAGCGTGGCATCTTACAGAGAGTCGGACAAAACATGGTTCGTCGTTGCACATTATGTAACGAAGTTGGTGGTCGTCACATTGAACATTTACTCTAAAGTAGTGCAGCCACTGATTCGATGTACAGTTTGATTGTACTCTACTGTTTTGTCAATAAAACTTGTCATAAATACTGTATTCTGCTGTTTCATTCAGCATACTGACTGCAAAGTGCTGTAGAAACTTTATATCACATTTCCGGCTATGGGTTCCTTATATCAAAACGTTCAAAATTTCATCCTCTACAATCCCTCAAATTTTTAAATCGTCATTCTGATACACCTTATATATACTTAATATAATGAATTTATTCGAAATGCATTATATTAAGAAACTATTAACAGAAACTAATTAAAAAGTATATTTAGGAATACCATACACTTGCATTTATGATTTAATTGTCATTAAGAAAGACATCCTTATACATAATCTCAGTGTTAAGTCAATAATCTCACAATTTGAGAATTCGTTTCTGAAAATCAATGTTAACTACATCACTAATACACACAGAGTAATATTGATCAAAAAATACTACACTTAAGTGTGATATTATTCTATTGCGTCTGTATTAAATATTCCACAGGGTGTTCATAACTTCATGAAACATTTTAAAATTTATTACTCATAAACTTCACATCATATACTATATTTTTTAACATTCAAATAAAGGTAAACTTTCCAACTTTTTTAAATATGAGTCACAAATGTTCAATGTGTCCACTTTTGCTGATGCGGCGGATAACCACCCGATAATCCATTTCTTTCTCACAGTATATCGTGTCAGTATATCACGGTCGACCAATGCCACAGCCACAATGATACGGTCGCGCAGTTCCTGAAGATCACGACAGAGTGAAGGCACAAAGACAGTATCCTTAACGAATCTCCATAAAAAAGAAGGTTAGCCACAGTTTGTTTGTTTGGAAACAAGACAGTTTGTTTGTTCCGGTCCAGAACCTCTAGGACGAAGAGCTGTGTACAGACAGCCTTCATCCCTGAATTTCACATACCATTTCAGGATAGTGTTGTACACAAGTGGCTCCTTATGGAATTCGGCTAAAAATCATAGCTGTACAGAAACAGACGAGGTACCGGTACGTATTCCAACACACAAAATGACTTCTCACATTCAGTTAGCACCGTATTTGCTAGTATTACCTCCTAGCGACAAATCGCAGCAACTACACGCGCGTATTATTCCTGGAAAAAATTTGGAAAATTTACCTTTATTTCGATATTTAAAAATGTAGTATCTGTTATGGAGTTTATGAATATTAAACTTTAAAATGTTTCATGGACTTATGACAGACCTAGTGGAAAATTCATGTCATTCATAAATACGGGGGTCCATTACAAAGCAAACGGGCGTAAAGAAAGACTTACTTTATATTGAAAATATTTAAAAAATGAAACGTGACTCAAACAGATTTTGAGATGATTGATATAACTAAGATATATTTTCATTAATTAATAAGCCTAATTAATAGAATAGTTTAAAAAGTTTTTAAATATATTTAAACAAGTTATCTTTGGCGTACTTATGGGGTAATGTGGGTATTGATCTCCAGAGGCTTTAGGAATAAAATTTAAACTAAGAAAAATTTGTCTTAAACAACAAATCTAAAATTACATTTTATTAATGAATAATTCAATATCAATCAATTATTTCATTTCTTAACATAATAAAAAATAATAATAAATTCTCAACGAGCAATTATTTTATTGTGACATCGTCACAATGCCAGGATGCAATTTTTAATCATATTTTTATTTCTTCACCTCAAATTAGCAGTGTCTTACTCCTGTACCGTACTGTACATCATACTTTTCCTGTTAGCAATGGACCCGTGCCGGTCATCTAACTCCTTTCGGGGGAAAATTTTTAAATTGAAATAACGTGACTTTGGGTGCAAACCGATGGTCTCCTGCCCCTAATGTTTCCACGTCTTGTCTCGATTTTCATCAATCTAACTCTGTTCTCGAAATTATGAAAGAAAAGATAAGAAATTCCCACTGTTGTCTGTCTGTAGACAGTGGGGATTTATAGGTCTACGATTTTTTCAAATTGAAGTCCAATTATCAATTGCTTACTTATACAATGTGACTGTGGATATATCTATAAGATCATAGTTTGGATATCGAGTTTGTTCTCATGTTTTCTTCGTGAACATTCTAGAAGATTTGTCTAACTGGTATATAAGGGGCGCTTAATATTTCTTCATTCTGATTGTACTTTTTAGATCATCCAGATCCAACGTCCAGAACAAAATCTTAGTTACGCCATTGCTTATTATTAATTATAAGTCCTTGCTTTTCGATCATTTCATATAAATAATAATTAGTATATATTTAGTAAAATATCTATCATATTTTAAAGAAACTATATTCGTAACTTATATTAATTTGACAATAAACGTTTTATAAATTACCTACAGTAAAGCTCTTGGATTATATTAATTACTTTTATTGAGGACAGAGGGCGCATTTTTAAAATTTTTTTTTTATTATCGTCTGCTTTTAATTGCAGGAAATAAAAAAATTTTAATGTTATGTTAGTTTGCAAATTAATAACATTTTTTGTATTGTTAACGTTTTTTTAAATTAATATATTAAAACTAAAATTTTAAACTAATGTAATTTATTTCGTAATTTCTTATTCTATTACGTCTAAGCTCATAACTTTTATACTATCATTAGAAACAGTTTCGAACTTAAGATTCTATTTTGCAAATATTAAATAAGATACAGTATAACCTCCAATAAAGTCCACTTTAAAGAACAATCTGTACAATCGTTAATAGAAACGTTGTTCTATTATACGTAAAAGCAGAGTCGGTAGATTAATCTACCGACTCTGGTAAAAGTTAAATATATTCATAGGAAAGTCAATAATGCTTCGCATAGTTTCTTACAGCTATTAAAAAAACCGAATGTAAATTATGTTTTTTTTGGTTAAGAAAACGTTATCTAAGTTCTTTAATCCAAATAGTAATTAATTTTGAAAGATTTTTATATAATACATTTATTAATTTATCTTAACCTATATTTAAATATTGTAAATTTTTACAGTGGTAAGTGAATAAATATTCATTTTCAAATGGCGAAGCTTCAAATAATTTATTATACATAGTTAGGATTAAAGTTGAAGTTACGCTTTACCAATCTTGCTTCATTTATAACTAAAATATTAACATCATAAAGAACAGTATGTTACATTTGAAATTTTTTAACTGGTACTCGAGAGTCGTTGGACAAAAAATTAAGGTACTTCGAAGACAGTCAAATACATTTAACTCGACGATCTTTTCATTTCAAGATGAGAATAAAGATTACTTATTGGAATTCAGCGATCAAGCTAATGTTATTGATTTAATATGTGCAGTGCCTCGTCTAAAATTTATTCAATTACTACCTTCATAAAAGAAAAAATCCAATAAAGAGTCAAGTGGGATTATTAACATTGACATTAAATAACAAAGAAATTAAATCATGATTTAAAGTAAAAAACAAAACAAAAAGCAAAAATAGAAAAACTGAAATTGCGATTTTTTTTTCATTCAATAAACTTTTTCTACTTCTTTCTATGAAAATAAATTATGATTAAAAATATAAAACGGCAGGCAAACTGTCGAGCAACGGTGTTTCATATAAAGGTATCTGTGTTGTGCCACTGCGCTAAAATTTATAAACCCTTTTAATAATAACAACAATAAATTACATGCGAATACTAATATTTAAATGTTCTCTGTTTCTAAACGGATTTAAAAAAAACAAAGGAAAATTTTTTTTCCAGATATAGAGGAGAAGGTGGTATTATGGAACCCCTCCATTTCAGATAATAGAGGATTTCAGATAACTAATAATAGAGGCGAACTCTAGCAAATTGTGGCTTAACCGCACTAGGCAGACATCGATAGCAAGGGGAGGATGTCTTCCGCTTCAGTTATGCGGTTGGACCAGTGAAACAGGACGTTTGTGTTTTTCGCAATTCCAAACTTTTGAATGGTAAGTGAATTTAATTACAGTATTTCTAAAATATAAATCATGTAGTTTTAGGTTCACTGGTGCATGTGTCCCGTTTTAGAAGCTTAGGAGTACATGTTAGTCTATCTGATGTTCACGTTTTTAGAGTTTGGTGTGGACAGAAATTAATTTAACCCAAGATGGCGATGCGTAAAATACGGATCCCATTGGTGCTTTTAATATGGAATGTGACTCCTTTAGGGTTCCGTATTACCCACAAATTCAAACCATGGAATCATTTTTGTGAAAGTATGTGGTGAATGAATGAAAAAATAGAGGAAATGAAAAAATTAGAAATAGATACCTGAAACTATAAATAAGTAGATCTAGCTAAATTCTGAATTTAATTTAAAAATGTTCTGGATAGATAGGTGTTATTTTAAACTGATTTTTTTTTTTTTTTTAGTTTTCAGATGCCTAGAGCCAAACTGAACAAGCCAAAGAAAAACCCGAAGAGACAAACATGGAGCCAGAAAAAAAATAGTAGAGGCAGTGAGTATGGTAAGGGACAAGAAAATGCGGCTGAAGAAAGCTGAAAAATTGTACAAGGGGCCAAAAACTACTTTGAGAACTTTCTCTTTGAAAGCAAACATTCTTCTAGAGCAATTTGTGAAAAAGACACTAGGTAGAAGCCAGTTCTTCCTAAGAATATTGAAAAAGAGCTGGTGAAATATATATTGTTGATGGAGGTCCTATTTTTCTATTATTAAAGATGAAACAAAGATGAATTGTAAGTACCGTACTGTACGTTAGTTAAATTAGCGATAACACTTTCTAAGTAATGAACTCGTTATATCGTTATTTCCTAGAAATTTACTATGGTTATGAACATTTTGATTTTATATTTGATTTCACTGTTTTAGAAATTCAAAAAATTTTAAGCATAGAAAACATATACAGAAAATAAAACTCACTGCAATGTGATTTCTAAACTTTGTGGTGGTACACCAATTTATTTTTTGTTATATTTTTATATATATATATATATATATATATATATGATTTTCTATCTTTCCTTCTTTCTTTGTTCTGTGTTCCTTTGTCTATACTTTCTGGAGCTTTTGTCCAAGTGTGGGTGGTCGGTAGACAAAGGATTAGAAATAGCCCAGAGGGTAAGTGAGAGACTAAGTGAGTACTTTTGGCTTTGGACCTAGAAGAGGGAAGATCGTCAGAGAGAGGTCTTAGCCCCCACCAGTGGGCGAGTGGTCTCCGTTGCCGCTCATCGTAGTGGTGACCAGACCCTAAAGACTGGGAGGTTCGTCGTGGGTTCGCGCCACGGTCGGACAGGCTGGCTGCTTGGAGTTTTCCGGGTTTTCTCCTTGCCTATAACGACTGAATAGGAGGCCAGTTCCCCATAAAAGTCCTCCCGGAAGGCATTTATTTCCCGCGCGTACGTATGGCTGTTCGATACAGCCGGCTAATCGGTCGCCTAGCGATCATACACATACACAAGTCTACTCGGAGAAAGAGCCTACATTGAGCTAAAATCTCCATATAAACACCATCGAAGAAGAAGAGAGAGAGAGGTCTCCAGGTCGGTGTTGCTTCGACTGAAAGAGTCACGAAGAGCACGTAAGAAAGAAGTACCGCTATTTTTTTTACTACTTAAATTATATATATTTTACGTTTTTATCATTTTAAATATAAATACATTACTGTATAGATAATTGTATTACAGTAAAAATAAAAATTGTAAAAGATCTGGCAACACTGATTAACAAACGTATGAAAGTGTTTCGAAGATACAGTTGTTTTGGTATTCGACGCGTTTGAGTACAATCAATAATATAATTTCAGTTCGGTTTAATAATAATTTTATTATTATAAAAAATAAAACGTTTCGAATTCGTTTGAAATTCGTATTAAAATTTCAAAATACTGAAAATTTGTATTGTTTATAACAACAAATTACGAATTATTCGTATTTTTATCTTGTTATAGAAGACGAATGAGAAGTGTACTGTTGATTTTGAAATCAAAGGTTTTTTTTTCTTTTTAAATAAATATTCTTATAATGTACCATAAATATTAATCAAAAGACAAGTTCATATCAAATATATAATGACATTTTGATTGAATATTTTATGGAAAGATTTCATATTTTATGAAGTTATGAGAAGAGTATAACATAATAGTTAAATGAGATAAAAAGTTACAAAACATAACATCAATATTGTTATTGATTCAGTTCAAGCTGTGTATTGGCTCATCTCGCAGCTGGCAAAGGCCTCTTTCAATTGTTTTCATTGCTGCTCGCAGTTGTGCAATCTTAAGTATTGTCGAGATGGGGGAATTACCTCGTTTCTGTCTCTCCTTTGTTGGCCAAGATTTCTTTTGTCGTACGTGGGGTACATGAATTGATAGTTTGTCCCGCCAATAGTGTTTTCGCACTAATGTACGACCCTTATCTCTTTTAAGGATTTTGAGAATGTTTTTGTTTTCTCTCATAGTAGTGGCTTGGACTTTATTTCTTGATATTCCTCTCATGTTCCTCTATTACTCCTTAGTAAGTTTGGACTCATTTTGTTTATTTTGGTGTTAAGCATCGAGTTTGAGTGAAGCTTAGGTAGGAATGGCTAGCAAGGCCTTATCCAGGAGGAATGCGTGGTGCTGCAGAACCTTTTGATACCAAAACAATCGGTTTTGTTACTTTAAAATAAAAATAAATATAATAATGAATATTGCGTGATTTCAGTTGGGTAAGATTAGGTAACTAAAGTAATTATAAGGTAATTGAGTAACATTCTCAAAAAAAAAAAAAACAACAACAACAACAGAGCATATGCCTTGATCATCTCTGAATCAGTCTTGAGCAACATCCATATTCTCAAAATCCAGGATACACCACTGGTAGTCAGTATGACTATTGAATATTTTACCTTGAAGTTGAAAGGATCAAAGATTTTTTTGCATCTAGTTTTTCATGTTTTAATAGTTTTTTGACAATTCTGAATTCAGTTTCCTTGTCTGATCTTATTGTTGAATAAACAATTTGTCTTAAGTGTTTAAAATGTTCTATATAATTTATTGTATAATTGTCTTATTTTAATGGCTGGAGTGTATGGTTTGTCATGATATTTGATTTTTTTTTAATCAGCCCTGATGGAAACAGGGAAGGTATAGTTGTAGCAGCAGGAACCAAAACCTTATTGTTTTTGCCTTAGTGAATTTCTTTGTTTCTTTGCAAGGACATACGCTGTGGTGTATAACCCTGCTCATGCCAGTTTCAAGTTCAGATGCAAAAAGAGGAGGGAGGAATAAACACCTCGTTAAAAAAACTGGGTACAACTGGTCTGGCTATTTGCCCACCAGTAAGGGCTCCCACCAGAGATTACTGGTAAAGTAGAAGATGGCAGATAAACCTATAAGGAAGGTCAATGGCTCTTCTACAACCACAACTACAAGTAACGTCTGCCAACTATGTGAGGTTTGGCAGCAAAAGGTGTCTGCTCCATGTCAGAAGTGACCTTTACGATGGAGGAAGATGGTAGATGGCATGGTCCCTCTGGCTAGGCAACCATGACTGACCAATACCATCCCTGGAAGACAGAATTTATTGGAATTCTCCCTTGAACTCGTCTCTTTCATTTGTGAATGAACATGGAATCCCTTTTGCTTAATAAATAACATAAACTTTGATGGTACTATGGAGGATAACCAAACCATGGTTACAGATGTGAGGACCATTGGCAGCATAAATGAAAGGCAACCATAGAACACCTCAATTGCCTAATACTCCCAGAGGAAACATAAAGAGAAAGCCTTTAGGTAAAACTTTCAGATTATGCCAGTTAAATGTAGAAGGTCTTATCCATGCCAAAGCAGAAATCCTACGTAAAATGTGCATAAATTACAGTATTGACATTATATGCATCCAAGAAACCCATGTTTTCAAAGATAAACTCAATCCAATACATATTCCCAACTTCAACTTAATCATAGCCTAAAATCATCTAAAATATGGACTTGCTATTTATGCAAGAAACAGCATAAAAGAACAAACTATCTCTACCAAACGTGGCACATTCTACATTGGCATCATCTTTTCAAAGAAAAAATATAGAAAAATTACAAATAAAATACAATGTAGGTAATAAAATAAATTTTGATTTGGACTTGGTTCACTTTAGAATTCAACCTTCCATATATTTCTTATGGTATACATACTAAATCAAAAACTTCAATAAATTTTTGAGTTTATACAAATTTTGAAAACTTATTTTACTGTAGAATCATGCTATATAAGAAACAAAATTCTGGTATGTCTTAAACGTCAAATAAAATTAAATTATTTTAACTAAATATAAAAACTGTTGTTAAATATTAATTTTTTTTCTAAAAATTTTCATAGACAAGTAGTGTTATTGATATAGTTCGTATTNAAGCAATGGAAACACCACAGTTTGCCACCACCAAAGAAGGCAAAGACAGTTCCATCAGCGGGGAAAGTGATGGCCTCGGTTTTTTGGGATGCTAAAAGCATCATCTTTATTGACTACCTAGAAAGAGGAAAGACCATTAATGCTGTCTATTACTGTGAACTTTTGGAAAAACTGAAGAAAGAAATTGAAGAAAAGAGGCTACACAAGAAAAAGGTTCTGTTTCACCACGATAATGCACCTGCACATTCTGCCAGAATCACTGAACAAAAGATAAACGAACTTTGCTTCCAATTAGTTCCACATCCACCATACTTACCTGATTTGGCTCCCAGTGACTTCCACCTTTTTCCAAACCTAAAAAAATTCTTGGCTGGAAAGGGATTCCACTCATCTCTGAAGTGAATGAGTATTTTGCACACCTTGACAAATCGACCTATTGTGATGGCATAAAAAAGCTAGAACATCGCTGGAATAAGTGCTACATTGAAAAAGGAGACTACATTGAAAAATAAAAAATGTTTTAACATTATTTTGTTTGTTGTTCTATTTGAGGCTGTAAACTTTCCGAACAGCCCTCGTAGAGGGTGTATTAACATTTTTTACTGTAAACTGAATCATTGATTATGTCATTAAGTTTTATCTACTGCTTTTGAATCACTCTGTATATCTGAATTTCTTTCATTATCTTTTTGAACACCACCAGAATGGCTGAATGCGTTATCTGTTTTAGAAATATTTATTGTAAAACTTAAAAAGAAACAAAAGAAAAAACATTCTTTATACTAAAGTCTATATAGAGAAATTCAGATATAAAAAAAAATGTCTAGTTCAAAAATTACTAGTTATGCTAATTAACTGTAATTAATTAGCATAACTTGGTTAAAATTACTAGCTAATTATTAATGTTATTCTTAACATTATATTTCTAATAATGTTAAGTATAACAACAATAAAATATCTCAGTAATAACATTTTTAAATATAATAATTAACAACAAATTTGTTACAAAAACACATGAAATATGTTATGAGATTCCTAAAATATCCAGGAAAAAACTTAAAACATGTTTCAGTAAAAGAATGGATCTGTTTTAATTTGTAGTTGGCAGGGGCGCCGCTAGCTGTTTGAACGCCCGTGTGCAATACCGATTATGCCGCCCCCTGTTTAACTACGACTACCTACTCTGAGCTTGCCAGAAAGGCTCTTTAGTGTTATCTCCTAAGGGTGTGAAAAAAGAAAAGAAATACTAATTATTATTACTAAGTTATTTTTGTTTACTTAAATGTAAAACCATATAAATAATTATCTACAGAAATTGAACTCTTCTTGCCTTTATGTTTGCGAAATCTGATATCAATTAACTTGTATCCAAGCTGTCTAAGATTTCGTGTTCAATTGAAACTATAGCTAAATTACTTAGTCTTTGCTGGTGCATTGTTGATCTTAAATAGTTTTTTATAATTTTTAACTTTGAAAAGGACCTTTCACCAAATGCAACTGAAACCGGCAATGTAAGTACATTCCTAGTGCTATTGCTATGTTCGGAAATGTTGAAATTAAGTCATTAGTAAAAAGATATTGTAATAGGGTTTGTGGATCATTAGACTGGTTTTCTGGAAAATGCAACTTTAAAGTATTGATTTCATTAAATAAATCAATACCGTCAATGTTTGTTTCACTACTTGAATTAAGCTTCAGATTTAAATCCTTTCCAAGTTAAAATACAGTATCATTAATTATATTTAGACCCATGTCAGAAAAATTATTAACAAAATAATTGCAATTTGATATGCGATAGAATTGTTCGAATGCGTACAACTACAAATTGAGAAGGAAGGTCTGTGAGGATTCCCTATTTTCGCCAGCCTGTCAAGTCCTGTCATAGTGCACGACTATGGGTACTTGGCTTTCGGGCGCTGCCGGATAATTCAACCTGCGGACAGATGTTTCGCATTTCATCTTAATTCTGATAAATGCCAATAGAGGCGCTGTTAACGCTATAATATAAATAAGAATATAGTAACTGTGCGCCGGTCGGATTTTTTTTCTCCATGCGAAGACATTTCTTATGCTATAAGTAGAATGGGTATTATGACAATGACTTTGAATATTACGTGACCGATGGCTCGATTTTCCGCCCCCTGGACGTGCCGCCCACGTGCGGTGCACGCCTTGCACGCCCGCTTACGGCGGGCCTGGTAGTTGGTGATAATTTGTATACTTGGAGTAAGGAGTAAGCAATATATGTCATATTTTGCTTCTCATTCTGTTGTTCAGTAGCATACAATATTATACGTAAAAACTTCAAAAATAGCTTATTTTGTTTCTTATTTTAAGGTTTTCATAAGAAAATACTTGACTACTACTATTTCCTACAAATAAATCTTTACATTTCCATTACCCCACATTTAAATATGAAAAAGTTTACCTAAAATCCAAATCTATAACAAAGAATTAAAGAAGAGGAGGATATCCATACACTGTGGTGCATTCATATTCTATGATACTTGGTTAATCACATTAATTTTTGAATCAACAGATAATAGTTTCTATCAATAAATTATTATTTGATTTTAAATTTCTGCCAATAGCTAAATTA